CCGTCGATGTAGCGTGCCAAGAAACTTTCGAAAGCCTGGGCAAACCCGCAAGTCACAGAGTGACCAGGATGTCATCATTTTCTTGCAAACCGCTAATACTCCGTATATCACTAGAGGTTTCATTATCGCTCCAGTAGAGATCTGTGGTTTGGCTTCGAGCAATTTTCTCCTCTCACCGTACTGCACGGTCCATGCTAGATGCTACTGTATACTACTAGTACCGTCCCTGCATCACAGGGCAGAGACAGTGGACACATGAAACTAAAAGATCGGCGCTTTCGAGGAAATCGATCGCCGTGACACAGTAGTACTCCACGCTAGTGGATTAGTCAAGGTCAGAGGTATTCGCGTTGCACTGTGTGCGTCTCGGCTTTTGCGTCGCTCGCTCGCGCCCGCGCGTGTCAGCCGTCCAGTGAGGCCCATTTTCCCGTCCTCCTCCATCTCCTCAAAACTGTCAGGTCCGGTTTGACAGATGCCAAGCCGCGTGAAAATGAACAAAACTGGCCTTTTTTGATAGTTAAACATAAAATGATCTTAATTTAAAAATATTTTACAAAATGGCCCTTTTTTGCATGACGCCCGGGGCTAGGGCGTCGTGCTAAAGAGCATGACGCCCCGACCTAAGGCGTCATGGTTATGAAATGTAGCATGGCGCTCCGGACTAGGGTGTCATGCAAAATAGTATGACGCCCTAGCCCGGGGCGTCATGCTATCTAGCATGACGCCCTAGGCCCGGGCGTCATGCAAAAGGGCCAATTTGTGAAAAAAATTCAGAATGAGGCCATTTTGTGTTGAACTTTCGAAAAAGGGTCAGTTTTGTCCATTTTCACCCAAGCCGCAGCTCTCTGAACAAGACGGTGGTCAAGCCTTTAGCTTTCTGTCTCTCTCTTTTACTATTAGCTATCCTTCTTTCTTCTGCCGGGGGTGAAATGGTAAATTGACCGTATGGCATCTTCAACGCTGACCAGCAAATTTGCTCTCGCATCCATCCGCAGACTGGGAGGCCTGTTGTCGCACACGTACCTCCAACATCGAGGGTGATGCATCACAGTTCACGTCAAAATAGACCCATCCGAAAGCACGGTACGCAAGCAATACGGCAGGTGCTTTTGAAGACCCGAAACCCTGCACACCCGAGAAGGACCCTGTCTGGACGTGCAGCGGCTACAAGCTGCCCTAAATCGGTTGGCCCGCCCCTGGAGCCTCAAGGATTGCCGCCCTTCAGTATGAAGAATGAACGAAGAACGGGAGAGAAGTTACAAGGGAGCGATTAAAAACCGAACTAGGATAAAAAAGTAGATGGGTTTTGTGATTGTGTGTTGTTGTTCAATTGACCGTCACCTCCTGTATATATAAGAGGTGGATGGACTTTCCGTAAGAAAAAAAACTTATCTTGCCGTGCAAATCATCAAAACCTAACAAAACACGGACTGCTTGCAACCTCCAGGCAGGATCTGGAGGCTCGGATGATCCGGCCAAGCCCATATTTTTGGCAGCGGCACATTGATCGGGCTGTAACTTTTGCATATGACCTTGGATGAAGACAACTTTTATATCAAAATCAACGGATTCGAGGAGACGCACAACTTTGTTGTTGAACACTTTTTGATCTGAGGCCATCTTGAGGGGGTATCGGGCCGTTACCTAAAATCTGTATTAGGAAAAGTTGTCCAGACATCCGAACTC